TCCGCAAAGCTGATGACCTCCGGCGACCCCGCCAACGATGCCCGCTACGAGATTGAAGTCACCCATCTCACCTGCTTCCTCGGCGGTATGTTTGGTCTCGGTGGACGTATATATGACCGTCCGGAGGACATCGAGATTGCCAAGCGTCTGGCCGAAGGTTGCGTCTGGGCGTACGAGGTGATGCCCTCTGGCATCATGCCCGAGGCCGCTACTGTCGTGCCCTGTCCTTCCAGAGAGCCCTGCGCTTTCAACGAGACGATGTGGTGGGAGCAGCTTGACCCTCAAGGTTCGTGGCGGGAGCGTGCTATCAAGGACTGGGAGGAAAGTCAGGTGACGAAACAGAAGGCCAGAGAGGACGCCCTCAACACGAAGGGCGATGTTGCTGCCGCGGTGACGCCTGGTGGAGATGTCAAACTGGACGGAGAGATGAAGGAGAAGGAAATGTTCAAGGATGATGCTGCCCCGGTGGCTGGTACTGGCAGCAAACTCGGCAAGCGGGCGGACGACCTGCCTGCACCCGTGGTGGCCGACGATGACCTCCCTGCACCAGCAGTGGCGGGTGAACAGGAGCAGGAACAGGTTGTCAGCGGCGGCGTTCTCACTCAAGTCCCGATCAACGAGGTGGCACAGGACCCGCGGCCGCAGTCACACGAGGAATTCGTCAAGGACAAGATCCAAAACGAGAGCATCCCTCCCGGCTTCGTGGCCATTACCTCAAGAAACTACATCCTGCGGCAAGTCCCCCTACCTCACCTCTCCCTTACCATTAACTAACACCTCCCCAGTCCCGAGGCCATCGAGTCAGTCTGGTACATGTACCGCATCACGGGCGACACAACCTGGCAAGACAAGGGCTGGCGCATGTTTGAGGCCATCATCAAAGCCACGCGCGTCGACGTCGGCCACAGCGCCATTAGCGACGTTACCGACAAGGAGCCTCTCAAGGAAGATGCCATGGAGAGTTTCTGGCTCGCGGAGACGCTCAAGTACTTTTACCTGCTGTATTCGGAGCCTGATGTTGTCAGTCTTGATGAGTGGGTGCTCAATACTGAGGCGCATCCATTCAGGAGGCCGTCATAGGGAGCGGGGGAGGGGAATAATACCATTGGATATAGTAGTGAGCATGAGGCGGCGTTCTGAGGCTTTGGCATGTTTTGGAAGTTGAGGGAGATCTATGTCACGACGAAATGGGTGGCCTGGTTGGCAGCATACAACATAGTCGGTCATCTCGATTTGAATACCATTACAATTTCTACATCATCTCATGTATCACATTACATCACGTCATCAAGTCAATTGTTGGCCCAAACAGTGCATTCTCATTCGCGTTCCGTCCACAGACTGGTTCGCACATACATAGTCCTACACAGGCCTTCCGAAATCCCGTGTCCATCCATCATCCATGGTCCCCAAAGTGACCAGTAACAACAAGTCGCAAAAAGCAAAAAAGGCAGTCGCAAGCCTCACCTTGTCCGTCATCCGTGTGTGTCGTCCTTCGTGAGGCTGTCAACTCTATACCCGTTGACGATTTCGCCCGGGGAAACATTATCCCACTATCCGTCGTGCGTCTCGTTCGTGGATGCCGGTATAATATTGGGGGAGGAAAAAACAAATTCCGTGAAAAAAGTAGCAAGTCGCAAACGCCGGTCCCTGATGCTGTGTTTTCGTCTCCTCTCTCGTCCGTGGCCAATGTTCAGCTGGTTTGTGCTGTCGCCATGCCGGTATGTCGCGCGTTGTGTATAGGAAGACTGATCTTGTCGCCATGTTCAGTCTTTGTGCTTAGCCTGATGGCTTAATCGGTTGTTGCCTGACTGAACATAACTAGTTGTCTACGAGCTCTCTAAGCACGCGGATAGACAGGATCATGACCAACAGGCCGATGGTGACGATGATGAGCAGGGTGAAGCTGAACCAACCCAGGACCATGGCCGACGTGCCGACGCCGGAGCGGACAGAGCCGTTGCCGAAGTCTTGGGCGATGATTGATGCGGCGACTGATGCCGTATGTTGCCACAAGACGGACACCAGGACGAAGATGGAGGCGATGAAAATGATGGCCAGCGAGATCTGGGAGACGGGGCGCGACGGGAACGGCTTGACCTCGCGCTCAGAGCCCTCCGAATCCTCCTCCTCGTGCCAGCCGGGGAAGGTGGCGAGAAGCAGGAAGCAGATGAAGGCGAAGATGATGGCGATGATGCTAGATTCCATGTCAGTGATGCGCGTGTGAACGTCTTTGGGACATGTACTTACATCAGGTAGGGGAAGACAACCATGTCTTTGAACTCGCTTGCCAGCCAGATCAGGTTGAGAGGGTCCTGGTCGACAGACACTTCGTTTGCAAGAGACGTGGCATTGTTGCTGCACAGCCAACTGCCTCCATCGGCGGAGATGCAGATGCCAAAGTAGCCCACACGGGTGGCGAGGCGGGCATCGCCAGCGATATTAGCAATGGCGTTGTGCACGTTGTAGTCAACTTGCGCCGTGTCGGGGACGGCTTCGTACGAGTCGTAGTAGATGGACAGCAGGAAGATGTCGGGGATGAGTGGCGACGACGAGGAGCAGCCGGCCAGCAGTAGCGAGAGAAGGATGACCGAGATGGCAATCAGGATCATGAGAACATGGTGGTATCCGAGGAACGGTATGAACCCTGAAAAGTGTCAGTCTTGATTAGGCCGCCACGGTTTGTCTCAGGGTTGAGGAATGTGGAGGAGACTCACGGTACCATCCTACTTGGAACTTTGCCATTGTGTAGGTTGTGCGTCGAAGGTCGAGGCGCCTCTAGTGATTCGTCTCGCCGCAACGAATTGCGTGATGACCTCTCCCGTCCCCCGTTGTTCCGGAGCGACGGTTGAGTCTCGTCGGGGCGTCAGCGCTGGGACGCTGTCGGTCGAGACTCGAGAGGAGGGGGCAGCGACGGGGCGATCGATTGTCCTCGGCGGACAGAGGAAGGTTGTCTCGAAGTTCAGGAATGAAGGGTTTGTCTCGATGAATCGCACCGCGGGGAAAGCGTGGTCGGTGGGATCGATCTAGGAGTATGCTCCAACTTGTCAGACAATGTGGTCCTTTGCTTTGTGTGTGAGGTCTTGCAGTTCCGTCCCAGAACTCTCTGCGTCCGAGGTAATGACAGACAGAGAGAGGAATGTCGGGTGGAATGTGCAAGAGGTGGGTAGGTATGGGAAAGGAGGGCGGGCGAGACTTAGATTTGGTGGTGTGGGAGACTTGAGATGCAGCGGGAAAGCCGGCACGCGGGAAGTCGGGTGGTGTAGATGTTCATGTACGGGGGAAAACCAGATGGCTGGACGACGAAGATCTGTCAGTGCAGAAGTGGTCCTCGGAGTGCGCCAGCGGTAGTGGTAGCGGTAGAGAGGTGTGCGGTGAGGACGTGGTCGCTGAGCGGCCACTGGCTGTGCGGTGCCTTGGCTGCGTGGTTGCCAGTCGGTCACTACGCCAACCTCTTCTATTTACTCGGAGGATGACGCTGTTGGTTGGCATGGCAATCCCTTGGTGGGGCACGCGACAGTGTGGCGCTAGCCTCGAAACGGCTGGTTGCTGCAGTGGCTTGGGGTGACGTTGGCCCCGCTGGAGCCGCTCCCACGCTTCAAAATGCGCCAGGGGCACGTCGCAGCAGGGGTCCAGCCCACTCCATCCGTCGCCTCACTGCACCAGCGGACGGCCCGGAGCTCTTCAACACAGGCTTTTGAGTGGTCGCGGAAGCGCATTTTCGACGCGAAGCCGCAAAGCCCGATGCTCCTTCCGGCCATTTAAGCTTCTTTGCCCAGGGCACCCCCATCCTTGTCGGCCGTTTTCCTTGGATTTTTTTTGGCGCTGGCTGTCTGCAGAGCTGGCAACCTGGAGGGATTCGTATCCCATGTCGGAAGCTGAGATGACGCCAAGGGGCAAGGGCCACGACCAAGGACGAGGACGGCACGCAACGCAACTGCGCCGCGACTTCGCTTCAGTCGACGGAGCAACTCCCATCACGATGCTGCCTGGGCCTTGACGCCAACCGCCCGGATCTGGCAGCTGAAGAACGAGAGAACAAGGGAACGAAGGCATCAGCATCCATGACCATGCGGGGCCTGCAGTACCTCGGATTTCCAGGTGCCACTTCACATCCACATCCACTTGCGCCCTCCAAGATCCCCTCGATGGATCAATGAGCTCCTCAACACCGACACCAACCCCACAGACTATGGACCCGACGGACACCAGCTCCTTCATCCAACAGTCACTTTAGCTCAGTGGGAGTAGCGTTCGACTGAAGTCCACTTCAATCACAAAATCGAAAGGTCGCCTGTTCGATCCAGGCAAGTGACAAAACGTAATCTTTTTTGCTGTTTGAGGCTCCAAGAGCAGGGTTGGATTGCCATCATGGTTGAGGCTCGGTGAGTTGGGGGTGCGACCATGTTGGCGGGCGGCTGACAATGTTTTCTTTTGCAGTGGCGATGCATTGAGGACAGGTTGGACATGACCGTCCTATCTAGAGAAGCTTGGTAATTTTACCCGGCGTAACGGGCGAATTTCCTCTTTTTCAGATTGCGAATTGGTTGCGATATTTGCAAGAGTCAACGAAGCATGGCATCGAGCAAGAGAAGAAGTTCTGCGCCTCTCAACTTTTGGCCTTGGATTCGCCCCGATTGCTTGTTGCTCGCCATACAACCCGTCGCCACTGGCGCACTCCGACAGCCAGCGCTGGTCAATCGTTCGCCTCACCAATACCAATCAACGCCCCATCTAATGGTTTCTTTGCGAGTGCAAAGATTCGCCAAAGGTCAATATTACCCACGCAGACGACACATTGCTCGCGCCAGTTTACCATTTCAACCGAACCAACTGCACACAGGTCTCTCCGCCCGAGGTCAGCTGCCTAAGATCGCAGCGTCAACCTTAATAATTGTCAAGACCGCCCAGCCTACAATGGAGACTTCGAGGTACCCGCTCCTTATCGGCAGACCCATTCTCAGCACATGAATGGGCATTTCTCCCGATAACCCATGCAATCCGGACTGGTGTAACGGTTAACATTTGTCGCTTTCAAATCTTGGAAGATCCGACAGGCTCGGGGTTCGATTCCCCGGTTCGGAAATATCTTTTGCCTTTTGTGCTATTGACACGACTTTTGCATTTCGCAGACAATGTCGCAAGCAAAGCATCGTATGTCTCTCGCAACTTTTTTTTGGCCTGATTGCAGCGATGAACTCAAGACTAATAGCTACAGTGGTCTGGCTGGGTATGCTGAACTCATGTTGCGTCGATTGCCGCTTTCCCTCGTGCCTCGGGAGCACCTTTCACGGCAGGCGTATTAGAGCAGAAAACGCTTTGGGAAAGAAGGCAGGTCTGAGTGTTGTCACCTTTTTATCCGGGTATCTACTTCAGGCGCGGCTTCCATCACAACTTCAGCAGTCCCATGCGGAAGCAAATGAACCTCCTGCCAGGCAGAGCCCACTCTCCCAAACACATTCAACTAACATCATCCATCCTGAGCAACGCCGAGAACCAAAGGCCCTCTCTCCTCTGAACACCTTCGTTCTGACAAGCACACCATCGTTTCCATTCATTCCAACACAATATTCCATCGTTTCCAAGGATACCTTTCAACAGGCGGGCAGCTGCCCCCATTTCTACCTACCAAGATGGGACTTTCATTTGACCCAGACGACACGGCTGCTGACATCCCGGCCCCAAGGCGTCCAACCCCCCGAGGCCTGGTCCATGAAATGATTCGCCAGGCGACGGCCAATATACCCATCCCTTCCCCGGCTACGGTCCCAGCCCCTACGAAAGAAGAAAAAAGCACCACCCAGCCTCTCGATGGTACCGACACTTTGCCTCGCCGCGGCCATGCTTCGAGCTCGTCGGAGGGAGGCCTGCGTCTTTTTGTCGAGCCGCAAGAAATTCCCGTCGATGCTCCTCATACTTTGGACCCTATTGAGCCCCCTGAATTCAGTCCCCAGGGCCGACCAACTTCTCAGTCACCCCTTGAGACATGGACGCAAAACACAGGAAACTGGACTTTCGAGCATCTCATAGCATGGGGCATGGCGATTCGACAAGGCGATTCTGAGGCTGTTGGCCCTCGTGGGGCGACTTCACCCATTTTACAGGCAGCCGGCCTAGACGCCGTACGCCTCGTCGATATGGAAGCGCCGCATCTTGGGAGAAGCCCTCGACAGCAGCTGGCAACCAACATATTACGTCGAGCTGCCAGGGGCCCAATTAGAAACACCTTGACTCAACTCGGCCGGGTCAATGAGACACATGCCAAGTCCATTGTTCGTCTGTTGCACATAGCCGTCCTCTGGGCACTTCCGATACGGGATTGGCCTTCAATAAGGGGAGCTTCAGCGGCCGAAGACCGACAAGAGATGGAGACGGATGGGGCTGCGGACGAAGATTTTCAGTCCAACGTCGACAACACAATTCTTCCCCCAATGATGGCGGATTTGCAGTTGACATCAGGCATCCGCAGGCGAGCAGCAAGGAGCGCTCCCTATGATCTGTCGCCGACCAGTCGTCAAGGAACCCGACCTATCCGTCAGTCTCGACGACGCCTCAACAGACAAACGGAGTACTAAGAGTTGGAGCAGGGGTCTGGGGACCTGGAGAGGACAAAACCCAGTGTTGGAGGATGATTTTGAGGAAGCGGATTGCAGTATTTTGCTGTACTGTTACGACATTCTTGTACCAGCATATGTGTGGATAGCGCTCATGGGCAGCAAGAGTTGCTAAAGCGAGTGAATTTTTAGGAATGAATCAGACAAAAATTGCTACAATCTGCCATCATTTTGGCGCTCCTGTGATGTGGTTGTGTTGTTCGAACATTGAACCGCGGTGCATGCCAAGCGAGTGTGGTGGCCGAGGTGGGTCGTAACAATAGTGGGTCACATCCCGCCAGACGATGTCATGCCTCAAGTTCCACGTCGAGCTTCCTCAACACCAACGCACAGCACAGTATCGACGACCAACCCCGATGGCGACCTTTGCAGATAGACCCTCCCCTTCAGGGGCACAGGGTCTCGACATACGAGTCGAGGACTACCTAGACGACAAGCTGCAGTCCACGGGCGACCTGGAGAACCTCGACAGCCTGCTTGCCAACGTCGAGACACAGCGTAGCCAGCTCCAGTCACAGCTCGACAACGCTGTCAAGCAGCTCGACGAGGCTCGCCTCACCTCCCGCGACCGAAGGTCCCTCCTCGAGAGACGTATCACCGACTTCAAAGACCTCCAACAGAGCATCGATGTGCGCGTTAAGATTGCGGCCGCCTCGGATGCACCGAACCAGGCTATTGCACGCCTTCAGACCCCCATGCGCAAGCTGCGCACCGTCGAGCTGGCGCAAAAATACCTGAGCCTCGTGCAGGACGTCGAGGCGCTACGAAAGGAGGCCAGGTCGCACCTTCCGCAGAGCCCCAAGGCCGCGCTAGAGCCCTACGTCCGACTCAAGCAGCTTGCCGTCAGGCTGGGCGAGCTCTCGGTCGATGCCGACGAAGCGGCGGGACATCTGGTCCGTCACGTCGAGAGGGTGACTGAGAATCTGTGGGACGAGATGAAGAAGACAATGTCGGCGGAGCTCGAGACTCTCCTGACCAAACGTGGGTGGCCCATGGTCGACCCTGGCATCGAGATGGACGAGGAGTGGCTGCAGTGTTTCGAGAAGCTTGTCGACCTGCAGATCCCCGAGGTCGTCTACAGCAACGAAGCTGTGCCCTTGCTCGCCTTCGAGGCCATGTGCAAAATCTTCGTATCCGAGTTCCGCTACCACTTCCTTAGCGACAAGCCCACCAGCAAGCCGGATGCACTTGGGTCACATTGCCTCCCCTGGTTTCTTGCCACGATCGAGAAGTGGGAGGATTTCTTTCGGGATAACCTCGGTCACATGCTGGCCAGCAAGTTCTTGGACACGCCGGTGGCCGAGAACAGCGTCTACGTCGACCCCGTGTCGGCCTTTATCACAGCCATGCTGCCGGTGCTGCGGGAGAAGGTGCACGGCGTCGTGGCAGACTCGATCAACGTACCGACCTTCCTGAGCAGCCTGATGGGCCAGCTCATGACCTTTGACGAGAATGTGCGCTTGCGATTTAGCTACGACGGGGGCGACTCGGAGAACGGCTGGCCCGGACTGACGACCGAAGTCCTCGAAAAGTACTTTGAGCCCTGGTTCTCAGCTGAGAAGGAATTCGCCATGGAACGCTTCCAGGTTATCATCTCTTCGCCTGACGCGCGGAACATCGACTATGACTACACTACCACTGGCAAGACCAAGCCAACGTACGGCGCTACCCGGACCATTGATCTTCTGCGGTCCATCACGACGCAATATCAGCGGGTCAGGAAGTTCAAGCACAGGATCCAGTTCCTGATAGGTATCCAGGTCGAAATTCTGGACCAGTACCATGACCGTCTCCGCGGCTCCCTTGAGGCGTACCAGGCCCTCAACTCGACAGTTGGCAGGACCCTGCACGGCGTCACCAAGGAGCAGCAGGCCGCCCTCGAGGGTACCGGCGCTCTGGAGACGCTTTGCAAGGTGTTTGGCAGCGCGGATCATGTCGTCGGTACCCTGAAGGATTGGAGCAATGAGGAGTTCTTCGTCACGCTGTGGGATGAGCTACAGTCCCGGGCGACAGGCGGCGACGACGGAGCCAACATCGCAGGTGAAATGAGCTACGAGGAGGTCAAGGATCGCACGTCCAACGCTGTCGGATCCAAGAATGACGACGGCATCATCTTTGACGAGACAATTGCGGCGTATGCGGCCAGACGGCAAGCGGCTCAGGAGTTCCTGGTCACTGCTTTGGCCTCATCGCATCGCGATGCCTTCAAGGCCTACACCACACGGGTTCAGTGGACCACGATTAGCGAGAGTGGTAACGACAGTGAGCTCACCATGTCCGGGGGCCGGACAGACAATGCTAATTTGAGCGCAGTCGACCCTCACCAACTGGCGATCACCGCGGAACTGGATGAACCGCTGAGGGTAAGTTTGTTCCGATCCTTTCCTCCTGACTGACGTCTCCTAACCTTCCCAGACCCTCCGCCGCAATTTGGACTTCATCTCCAAGGCTCTCAGCACCGCAGCCTCCCGACGTATCTGGCGCGATGCCCTCGAGAAGCTTCAGGACGTCCTCTGGGGCGACGTCCTGATGCGCCACACCTTTACAGGCCTCGGCGCAGCGCAGTTCATGCGCGACTTCAACGCCATCTGCTCCCTCGTCGAGAGATACATCCCCAACGGCCTCTCGTCACTAGCTAGTCTCCACGACGCGCTGAGGCTGTTGACGCTCCCTGTTGCGCCGGCCGACGGACAGGTGTCCCTCAAGGAGGCCAGCGACCGCGTCTTCACGGACAACAAGGAAGCCAAGGCCGTACTGGAGCAGCTGGATATCGAGACGTTGACGCCGGCCAACGCCAGGCATATCCTCCAACGGAGGGTCGAGAACAGCGAGTAGACAGCACAGGCAAAGTAGAATAACGAGAAAATGATGGATACATGGCGAATGCGCGTACGCCGCCGTGTTGATGAGAATAAAGCAGAATATGTACGCCGTATATGTTGAAATATAGACAGGCTCAGGCCGGCCTGCCAGATGCGTTTTTGTCTTCGCGCCCATCCGTGTATGAAGCATGGTCCAAAACTCCTTCCCAAGAGCATCCCTTGTACTAAAGTCCCCCCCTCTAGCTGATCAGCCTCATGGTGAGCTCGACGGTAGCAAAGGTAGCAGCGCTGACGGGCATGGCCCTCAGCAGCGTGGGACCAATACCCTTCCAGAAGCCACGAGCACCCTCGGCGCGCCAGGTCTGGGCGAAGCAGTCCCGCATGCTGGCGTACTTCTGGGCCTTGCCAAAGCCGTCGGTCTGCATCTTGCTCTTAATAACGTCGAGCGGGTAGCTGCCGAGCCAGAGGGCCTCGCCGGCAAGACCACCGTAGAAAGCGACCTTCCAGGAAGGCACGTCTCGACGGTGAATCTTGTTGCGGGCGGCGTCGGCGTTCATCATGTATTCAAAGGAGAGGAACCAGAGACCGTAGGCCTGGGCCTCACGAAGGACGGTGACGGCCTCGCCGCGGTAGAGGCCGCGCAGGACGC